GGTAGCCAGAGGCCAGGCTGCCTCCTGACCAGGTGCAGCTCTGAGGAGCCATCTCAGGGAGAAAGAGGCGGCTGTAACGGCTGCTGTTTAAAGAAGCCTGGATCTCTGAGGGCCTGGGTTCGAGTCCCCACTCCGCTCCCGATTCCAGCTCCCTGCTAATGCAGACCCTGGGAGGCAATGGTGATGGCTCAAGTAGTCCAGGTCCCTGCCACCATGTGGGAGACCCGGATGGAGCTCCCGGCTCCCAGGCCTTTGGAGAGTGACCCAGGACAAATCTGCAGAGGAATTCACGGCCTCTGCTTGTCCCTGGTCTCCCGGGGCCTGTGTTTGTGCAGGGACTCAGCACAGGGTGCGGGATGACGAGGCCGGCCAGGTCAGAGGAGAAGGTCTGTCGTTAGGGACGGGTGGACAGGTCAGACTGTGACTGCTCCCCTATGGCAGAGTCATTGTCAAGTTCATCCCAGGACCACCTCTTTCTATGGAGGTCTTTACAAAGCTCATAGCTGGTGCAGATTGTGGAAACATTTTGTGGGGATTTCAAAAGTTTTTGAACTGAAGAAAAGAAAAATCCAAACCCTTATTGGGGGGTCCAGTGCTATGGCGTAGGGGGAGGGGGGTAGAACCGCTGCCTGCAATGCCTGCATCCCATATGGGCACCAGTTCAGATCCCAGCTGCTCCACTTCTGATCCAGCTCTCTGCTGTGGCCTGGGGAAGCAACGGAGGATGGCCCAAGTGCTTGGGCCCCTGCACCCGCGTGGGAGACCCGGAGAAGCTCCTGGCTCCTGGCTTCGGATCGGCGCAGCTCTGGCTGTTGCAGCCATCTGGGGAGTGAACCAGTGGATGTAAGACCCCTCTCTCTCTCTCTCTCTCTCTCTCTCTCTCTCTGCCTCTGCCTCTCTGTAACTCTGCCTTTCAAATAATAAATAAATAAATCTTAAAATAAAAACACCTGGCCGGCGCCGCGGCTCACTAGGCTAATCCTCCGCCTAGCAGCGCCGACACACCGGGTTCTAGTCCCGGTCGGGGCGCCGGATTCTGTCCCGGTTGCCCCTCTTCCAGGCCAGCTCTCTGCTGTGGCCAGGGAGTGCAGTGGAGGATGGCCCAGGTGCTTGGGCCCTGCACCCCATGGGAGACCAGGAAAAGCACCTGGCTCCTGGCTCCTGCCATCGGATCAGCGCGGTGCGCCGGCCGCAGCGCGCCGGCCGCGGCGGCCATTGGAGGGTGAACCAACGGCAAAGGAAGACCTTTCTCTCTGTCTCTCTCTCTCACTGTCCACTCTGCCTGTCAAAAAAAATAAAAATAAAAAAATAAAAAAAATAAAAACACCTTATCAGCGTGAGGATTTGGTGCAGCAGTTGGGTGGGACGCCCACATCCCAGCTCCACTCTGGACTCCAGCTTCCTGTTCATGAGTAACCTGGAGGCATCAGTGGGGGGCTCAAGTGTCTGAGTCCCTGCCCCCGACGTGGGAGACCTGGATTGAATTCCTGGCTCCGGGCCTCGCCCTGGCCATTACAGCCTTTGAGGGGAGAAGCAGAGAGCTCTGCCTTTCAAATAAGAATAATTAAATTCTTACCTTTTTTTCTTTTTGCAAATATTTATTTATTTATTTGAAAGGCAGAGTTACAGAGGCAGAGGCAGAGAGAGAGGGAGAGAGAGAGGGGGGTCTTCATCCGCTGATTCACTTTCCAATTGACCGCAACGGCCGGAGCTGGGCCCATCTGAAGCCAGCAGCCAGGAGCTTCTTCTGTGTCTCACATGTGGGTGCAGGGGCCCAAGCACTTGGGCCATCTTCTATCGCTTCCCCAGGCCACAGCAGAGAGCTGGATCAGAAGTGGAGCAGCTGGGATCTGAACTGGTGCCCATATGGGATGCCAGTGCCGCAGGCGGCAGCTTTACCTGCTATGCCACAGCACTAGTCCCTAAACCCTTACCTTTTAATTCCATTTTCCATGAGCATTTTGAATCCTGCTCATAGTCAGAAGCTGCAAGGTGGACCCAAAATTGAAGCCATGTAGAAATCAGGGTGGCCAGATACCCCAGTAGTTCAAAGTGTTCATGGGCAACAGAATTAAAAGGTATGGTTACTGTGGTGTGTGACAGTGTCAAAATCCAGGCACATGAGAGGTCTTTGAAGAAGTTCAAGAAATGTGTGCTATGGGGAAAAAAAATTGTGCATGAATTTCAAAACTTCTTGTACCAAAATAAACATTCAGCACTATTTTTCATGAACTTGGAAGAACCCTGGCACAGGACATCTGCACAGTTAAATTCGGGTTTCAGATAAACAACAAGCAGGTCTCTAGGATGCATGTGCCCCAGTCGTTGGGTGGGGCAGGCTCACGCTAGAAAACAAGGAGCTGTCACTCATCCGAGATGCAGATCTGCCTGCATCTGCACACTGGGCCCAGACAGCCCCCCTCCCCGTCCCCCCTGGGCCTTGGGGTGCTGTGGGGCCTGCGCAGACCAGGTAGCCTGTCCTCCGGGCAGCCCCAGGGCGCTGGGCCGGGCACAGGCCTGGACGGAGACCACTCACTGTCTGAAACCCCTGTTGTTCCCGCAGGCCCCGTGCAGGTTGCCACAGCCCTGCACGTCCGTTTCCCAGCTCGTAGGATGCCCGCGGCGCCTGCCAGAGCTGTGCTCAGACAAGGGTGGGGCATAGCTCAGGGCAAAGCAGGAGCCCCCGGGGGCCCAACTTCTTGGGATGTGCCAGGGTGATGAGTTCCATCCCTAAGCCAGAGAAGGCTGGGGGTGACCCCCTCGGCCCCCAGCCACGCCCCCAGCTGTAAACCAGAGACAGAAGTGCTCAGACCGAAGGGGTGACGTGTGCTGCTCCCAGTCACCTGGGCCTGGGGTCGGGGGTCTTGCTCAGTCAATTCCTGGTCCACTCCCGATCTGGGGCCCCAGGAGCATAGGGCCCTGGGCTTGGTGTTGGCGACTGCCTGGGTTGGCCTGGGCAGCTGTCCTCGTCGGTGTAGATGGTTCTAGAAAGAGCCGCTTGGCATTTTCAGGGGCAAACAGGCTCCCGGCCCTCCCTGTTGCAAGGTGACGGGCAGCACCACCTCACACGTTTCCCAGGCCCTTCCAGCATCAAGGCCATGGTGCTCGGGTCTCCTGTGAAGCCGCGGAAGCCCACACTTGGCTGCTCTGGTTAAGACCTCCGTGTGCCGGGAAGCCACGTCTCCCTGTCACTCGCCTGCCAGGCCCAAGATCAAGGAACCCGCCCGTCTCCCCAGCACTCTGCGGCCCAGCTGTCCCGGCTGAGCGGGTGGGAAGCCCCCAGCGCTTCCCCAGCCCTGGGGCTGCGTGTGGGGGCCACCGCTCACAGGGCCCCGGCTGCCTCAGGTGGTTCGTCTCCAGTGGCGACAGGAAGGGATCCTGAATTAACGCTGGGTAATAAATTTTGCAGAAGCCAATAAAACCCAAGCAGAGGGCTAGAGAGGGGTAAGAGCCGCAGCAACTGATTAAACATTTTTGTTGGCAGTCACACACATGGCACATTCGCCAAGGTCTGTGTGAGGAGCCATCTGGCTGTGGACGTGTGTCTGTGGGACCTGGGGGGAGGGGCAGGGCGGAGCCGGGGCCCAGGGGGAGGTTGTGCTGTGCCTGGGATGCCGGTTGCCCATGCCCCAGTTCAGCCGTCTCTTGATTTTTTTGGGAGTGAGAGAGCAGAGCCGTCAGGTTAGCCAGGGCCGGCCCACAAGGGGCTCCCCGGGGCCTGTGACTTCTTGGGTTTCTGATCATACCACAGACTGCACCTCCAGACCTGGCCCTGCCTTCCCTCTCCTGCAGCCATGCTGTGCGCTGGTCCCCAGGCCCCTGTGTTACGGGCTAGGCAGGGAGCTAGTGAGGGGAAAGGAGCCGAGAGTCCCCCAGCAGCCTCCTGGCTGCAGCCACGGGTCAGCTGCAACCCCACCCGCTTCCGTGCGATGCTTCATGTCTGCACCTCCCCTCATCCCCATTGTGCACCTGTTACACCTGAGCCTTCGTCCCACCTCATGCCCAAGATGCCATGACACCACTTGCCCTGAAGCCCCGCCCAAACGCCTTGCTCATTTGCATATTCTACCAGGGCACCGCCCCCTACCTGACAAAGGGGAGACCTGAACTTGGGTGGGGGCAGACGCCACTCTGCCCTCTTGGAGAGAGGCTGCTCGTGGGCCTGTCTCAATGCCTGCCACCTCTTTTCACAGATCCCCCTCCTCCTCTCGTACCTGATCTCCCTCTCTGCTTTGAATCCTGCTCTCACACCAGGTTCCATGTTGTGCGTGAGCTCTGTGTGGGTCTCCTTCTCCCCACACCAGGAGGCCCTGCCTGCAGCCGCCACAGCCGATTTCTCTGATGTAGGCCAGGGAATCCCTGTGGCCACCTGGGGATTGCTCAAAAGAAGTGCCAGTCACCCCCAGGTAAAGCCCCGGGACCATGCGGGGCTCCTGGGCTCCCCAACATCTCAGGCCCCACGCTGTAGCGGAAGCCTGGGAGCCTCCAGCAGTGCTGCCCACCCACTCCACGGAGGGAGACTTGGTCCGGTGTCCACCGACCCCAGCAGCACTGAGGGCACCCAGGCTCCCTGATCCATCACTTTCCAAACACACCCTGGTGCCCGCTCTTGGGGGGGGCGGGGTCTTGGCTCCATCCAACCCATGCCCCCTGCTGGACCGGGTCAAGTCCACAGTCAGCCCTGGACCCTGTCCTCCACTGCCTGCCTCGGCCCGGGAGGGGGCCACAGCTCCTCACTGCTCCCACTCCTAGGGTGCCGACTTCCACCTGATGGCCAGCCTGCTCCGTCCGGCCACGGGGACCTCCGGCTGCCTCGCAGTGACACACGCAGCTTGGGCTGAGCCTCCCTGCTGCTCTGCACCTGCGGCTCCTCCCCGTCAGTGGCCTCCAGGTGCAGCCGAGGGCCTGGCACCAGGAACGGTCACCGCAGGAGAGCCTGGTTTCCCGGATACCCGCAGTGCCCCGAGGAGGAGGCCCTCAGCGCCCAAGCCGTCACCCACCTCTGAGAAGAACACGGACAGGATGACCAGGCTGATCCAATGAATGACGCCCGCGAATTGGAAGGCGCTGGAAACTGGAACACAGGAGGAGCCGATTGGAGGGGCGTGGAGTTGGGTGCCCGGGCCGGGCGGGCTCCCGGGAACATTCCCATCTGGCTGAATCCCAGTCAGACAGCGGGGTCTGCGGGAGGTACGGTGGGAGCTCCCCAGGCCCCGGGAAGGCAGCCCTGCAGAGGGGGCTTCCGATCAAGCTTGGATGTGCTCTCAGGGGTGCACCCCCTCCCTGCAAAGTGCTGGGCGCTATTAGTGGGGCCTGAGCCGAGCTGACGGGGACTTCCCATCCTGAGCGTTCAGTGGGAGCTGCGTGCGGGGCCGGGAAGGGGCGTGGAAGCAGCGGCCGAGACAGCTGCCCACTGCTCCACTCACCCTTCCGGGTTCGGGGTGAATGGAGAGAGGCGTCACCTGCAGGACGCACCACCCCACCTTCAGCCTGGCTCCTCCTCTGAAAGGTGTGTTTGAACATACAGGAAGCCATGGCCGGCCTCGCGACCCTGGCTGACCACAGCCATCGTCTGCTGGGTGCAGGGACCCAGGACCCGGGTCAGGCGGGAGGCAGAGAAGAGAAACCGGCAGGGTCCTGGGACAAGCGGCAGGTCCCGGGCAGGAAAGCTGAGAGGGTGCCTGTTACCCTCTGGGCCTCCTGGGGGCCCAGGGAAGGCAGCAAGTGCCCCCTGTGCAGGGGGCTGGCCTGCGAGGGGGACCCCCGGCCTGGGCTCGCAGCTCCCCGGGGCATGCACATATGGTTTCAGGTCCAGTGGGAGACGCGGGTCCCCTGGCTCTGGGCCAGTACTTCCCTGGGAAGATGAGCCTCAAGGCCCTGTGGATTCCTTCCTGTCCCCGGTCACATGGGTACCAGTGGGAGCCCAGAGGCCGAGGCCCGGGGGCCTCTGAAAGGCCATCCAAATGATACTGAAAACATAAAAATCTCTCTCCATTATTTCTCAAATGAATTCCTGGGCCTTTTTTACGGTTTGCTTTAAAGAGGCCATAAATCTCTGACTGTGCGTTTTATGGAATTTAGATGCCTTTTATGAGTTGCTATTGGATCTCCCACCAAAATCAATCTCCCGGATCCTTAATTCTAAGCAGCATTCCAGCGTCGGCTGGGTTCTCACTTGTGCTCAGTGCCTTGTCCCAGCCCGGGCGGCCCCCGGGGGCCCGGCTGCAACCCACCCCACCCCCCAGCATAAAAAGGAGAGAAAAGCTCCCCGCGATGGGTCAGATCCCATCAAAAGCAGACATAGGGCCAGGTGGGAGGGGACATCTCCAGCACCGTTTAATTGAAGACAGGTTGAGCGTAAAACCAGGGCCAGTGGCTGGATGGGCTTTGAACCAAGGACACATCAGCTGCATAAAAACCCAAGGAGGCCCATCAGACAGAAGTGGGGGGGGCTCACTGTCACCCCCTCCTGGAGAGCAGAGGAGGCCGAGGGGCTGGGAGGGAGCTCGGGGGGCATTTGAGCCAGGAGGACTGACCGGTCAGCAGTGTGGGAAAGGAGTTTTCCACCCCTTCAATGTGCACCTGAGTGATCGCCACACGGACTCAGGGGCCATGCACCGCCTCGGCCCCAGCCCCTCTGCGCACCTGCAAGGTGAGGTGGCAGACAAGCCTCCTGCTGTCACAACCCCCCCCACCCCGGAACATGCGACGCTGGGACCAACCCCAAGGGAGGGCAGAACCGGGTCGGAGGTTAGACACCTGCCCCCCAAGTCCCAGCCCCAGGGCCTCTGACCCGGAGCAAGCCTCTAACCCCCACATCTTAACTAGCTTGTCTATAGACGGGAGATCACGGAGAGCGGTCACCCCAGGGGGGAACCCTCTTTGAGCTACAGAAAATTCCAAATGGAAGTAATAAGAAAGAATGCATACAGGGGTCCCCAGCCATTTTTTTTCTCTCTATCGTCAGTTCCCTGATGGTGGAATGCTGAGAAGACAGGACTACTGAGCTCACTCTGGGTGGAGAGGCGCAAACCGGTGCCGCGGTGACCGACAGAGGGCGCCAGCTGCACCTCCTCCCCGTTGTGGTCCCCGGAGGCTCCCCCACTCCACCCCGGGCAGGAGGCGGGTTGGGGAGGGAGGGATGGGGGCTGGCGGACACAGGTGCACATGGCACGGCGTTCGGTTCTCTGGCTACTCACAGTGGAGAAGCTTCACATCTATCAGAAGTTCCAAGGTCAGCAGAATCACGACCAGTATCACGCAGGCCACCAGGAAACCGTTGAGACTCGCACTGAGCAGGAACACCTGCCACGCGGCCGCTCCCTTCCCACAGCACGGCTTCAGCCAGTTAGACCTGCGGGGACACAAGAGGGAGAGGCGTCTTCCTGACTCAGGGGCCCGGCGGCCAGCGGATGGGCAGGAGAGGCCAGCATCCAGCCTAGCAGTTAGGATGCCCGCATCCCACGCGGCGGTGCCTGGATGGGCTTTCAGGGCTCCAGCGCCTGACTCCAGCTTCCTGCTAAGGTAGACCCTGGGAGGCAGCAGGTGATGGGATCTTGCCCCCGACCTGGAGACCAGCATGACCAGCTGGGGAGCGAACCAGTCGACAGCTCTCTCTCTCTCTCCATAAACTTTAAACCTCAGTCTTTTTTTTTTTTTTTCAGAGCAGATTGTGTGGAACGCTCATTCATGATTGTTCCTTGATTTAAAAAAAAAGTCCCCCTGTTTGGTAAGTTTTGGAAAATGTGCGTCACTGTGCAGTGGGTGTGTTTCACGGGGGGAAACATATGGCGCCTTCAGTGTGCTATGGCGGTTCCTCGTCTCCAAGGGGTCATGGGATCAGAGCTTCCCCCACTCGCTGGACCCCGGTACCCTACTGTCACGGCATCTCCCGTGCAGCCAGCGTTCAGGGGACCCTCCTGCGGGAACCCCCGACTAGCTGATCTTGAACATTCACTGCAGAGACAGGGTCTTTGCTGAGCTGGCCTGGAAGTGGGGATGGGGGCACCGAGTCTCAGAGCTGGGTGGGTCGCCTAGAGACCAAGCACAACAGGGGGCACCTCCGGGAGGGACTGGGAGTCCAAGGTTGGGGAGGAGGTGCTGAGATCAAACCCCACCTCTGTCACTCAGTTCCGAGCTGGACCTGCCCACCCTCCCGGGCAGAGGAAGAATCCGGTGTTCTGAAGTGGCCGAGACAGCACTGGCCAGGTAGCCATAGTTCTGGCTCCGCCTTTGCTGCCCTGGGACTGCGTGAGGAGCCTCCATCCCACCCTCACCCCTGTCTGGGACTCGGCCTACATGCTTGCACACGTTGAGGGAATCGGGAGGTTGGAAGTTACATGGGGGACAGTGCTGACGGAGCATAAATGAATACATGATGATGACGATGGTCATGGTGGTGGTGGTGGTGGTGGTGGTGATGATGGTGATGATGATGGTGGTGGTGATGAAAAATTATGATGGCGATCATGATAAAATATCTGATGGCTGGGTCGGTGTTGTGGCACAGCGAGTTAAGCCATCCTATGTGGGTGCTGGTTTGAGTCCCGGCTGCTCCACTTCCAATCCAGCTCTCTGTTAATGTGCCTGTGAAAGAAGCAGAAGATGGCCCAAGCCCCAGGGCCTCTGTACCCATATGGGAGACCTGAATGCAGTTCTAGGATCTTGCTTTGGCTTGGCCCAGACCTGGCTGTTGTGGCCAATTGGGGGGTGAACCAGTAGATAGAAGACCTCTCTCTCTCTCTCTCTCTCTCTCTCTATCTTTCTCTCCCTCTCTCCCTCTCTTTGTAACTCCACCTTTCAAATAAATAAATAAATCTTTAAAAAGTAATCTGAGAGGCAGGGAGGTTTCAGCAGGGTCCTAGGACAAGGTTCCCTGTCACTGACAGGTGGACCACAGGGAGGAAGGTCAAGGTCATGGGTGGAAGCCTCTGTCCCCCACCACACAGGGATTTTCAAGTCTTTCTACGAGGAATCTTTGAAGGAAGTTCATGGAAAATGTGTGTTATGAAAAAACTATGGGTGAATTTCAAAATGCTTCTGGCCCCAAAACAAACCTATCTGGACAGGCAGTCAGTGCAGCTTCTCACAGCGGGGGCCTGGGTTTGAGTCTCGGCTCTGCTGCTTCCAGCGTCCTATTAATGTGCACCCAGGGTGCACCCAGGGAGGCAGCAGGCCAAGTCCTTGAGTCCCTGCCACTCCCCATGGGAGACCCAGATGCAGCTCCTGACTCCTGGCTTTGGTCAAGTCCAGCTCTGGCTTTTGCAGGCATCTGGGGAGTGAACCTGTGGATGGAAGATCAATCTCTCTCTGTCTCTCTCTGTCTCTCTGTCCCTCTCTCTCTCTGCCTTTCAAATTGAAAAATGCATGAATACATTGATTTATGCATGCTAGGCAGGCAGTGGGAGAGCCCCCACGTCCAGACTTGCGTAAGATTCCCTGCCGCTTGCGAAGGGCCTCAGCTCAGTAAACCCCGAGAGGGCAGGACCAGGAGCTGGGTGGGCTTCCCTGGCAGCTGGAGCTTTGCAACTGCCACCCTCAGCCGGGTGCTGCTGTGTTTGCCATAGCCCCTTCCCTCCCCCCACCCCGCCCCACCACAAGTCTCGCAGCACCGAGAGCCCCAGGGCGGCCATGGATACCAGCCTGTACCTCCCTGGCCCAGCCCTGTCTTCTGGTTCCTGTCCTGTGTGGATTCTTGTCCCCCTCTGCGGGAGCCCCCGCCTCCAGGTGACCCCAGGTGAATGCAATGGAAGCCAATGAGGAGGACTGACGGCCACAGTCAGGGCCTGGCTGCTGGGGACGGGGGACAGAGGACCTGCAGCCAGGGCAGCGGGGCTCAGCTCCAGCTCCAACCAGAATCACCCAGGAAGCGTAAAAGCCCCAGTGGCCAGGCCACACCCCAGACCGCTTAAACCACTTGCCTTCCAGGCAGGACGTGGGCGGGCGGGCCTCGTCTGTTCAGGTGCTTCCAATGGGCAGGCAACCACCCCCACCCCACAAGAACCATGCCCAAAGCCCTCGCTGCTATCGGCACCACCTGGGAAGCTTGTCCGGGCCACGGCTTCCCACACCCACCGACTGAGGGAGAGCCCAGCGGCCAGCGGGCAGTGAGAGCTGCTGCCCCGGGAGCTCTAGGAGAGGACACACAGGTATCTGAGAAGGGGCAGGGGCATGGCGAAGGGTGGCAGGGAGCAGGGCGGATGCTGCCACACACAGGCAGGCTTGGGCTGAACCCGCGGCGGAGGTGGGGGTGCACCTGCCGCCATCAAGGGTCTGGGGGGAGCAGGCAGGTTGTGGGGAGTGGGCAAACACGCAGGCGCTGGACATCGCGCCTTTCTGAAGGGCAGACACAGGAGACTAGCTGCGACACGGACCCCAGAGGGCAGGCTTGGGCTGGGCTGAACCGGAGGTTTGCAGGCTGCTAAGATCTGGAAATTCCAGTTTCCTCTAAATTCCAGGTGATCCCTACATTCCTGGGAGACCCTCTCAGCAGGACCAGAGGGCACATCCTGTTTCTGTAGGTCCCTGGGCGGGTAAATGACCCAAGGGACAACCAGCGACTTTTCCTGCCTCCACCCCAGCGGGGCTCAGGACCGGCTCTCAGGGCGGTGTTATCCCAGGAGTCGCCACTAGAGGGCAGGCGCCTCCCAATGTCTACCTCGAGGGACAGCGCTGGGCCCCCACAGTGGGCAAACGCCAGGCAGCAGATGGCCTTTGCTGGCAGGTGGGCTGTGTGGTGGCCTGAGCTGCCTCCAGTCACGCCTGAGGCCTCCGGGAGGCCCTGGGGCGGGAGGGCAGGCTGGGCACCGCTGCTGCTGGCTTCTGTTTTCTCTCTGTAGGTGTTGGGGTCAAAGAAATAGAACTTTTATTTGTTGCAGCCTGCAACCTTGTAAGTAAACTCCCGAGACGACGTGGTGAGCTCCTAGTCCGAGACCATTCTAAAAAGAAAAATAAAAGAGGCAAAAACACGCGGGAGCGGGACAGGAGAAGTGCGATGTTGACGTCGAGAACTCGGGCTGCAGGTGACAGGGGGCTCTCCCCAGCCCTTCCCAGAACTGCCACGTGGGCAGCTGCAGCTCTGCGATCAGAGTGAAAGGTGAGCCCAGCTGCCGCGGGGACGGGAGGGCCGCGTCTGGCTGAGGTCGCCGGCCACTGACATTTGCCTGTTCCAGAATCAACAGATTTTCTGCCTCCTGGGAAATGTCACCCCTGGGGAAACACGGCGGGGGTGATGACGAGAGCTCAGGGCCAGGAGGCAGGAGCTGACACTGTGCCCGGCCAGCTACACCTCGCGTGCCTGCTCCCCTGCCTGCTGTGGCCAGGGAGTGGCTCTCAGCCCTGTCTCGGTGACAGAGGTTCCAGCCCAACAGGGAAGGCAGTGCGGTGCAAGGCCCCCTGGCCCTCAGAGTCCCCAGTTCTGGGAACTGGGCTCATCCTAGGGACTGGCTGCAGTACCAGGCTGTCCTCTGTGCTGTGGCTACTTCTTACCCAGCCTCCTCTGGGTCCACCGTGGTTTAGCAAACCTGGGTGGTCCAAGGCCTGGTACCCAAGTGCTCCACGGATCAGGGGCCCCCATTCCATCCCGGACGTTAAACCTCAGCTTGCTTTGCCTGGGAGACCTGGGCTGGCATTTAAAGCCCCCCTCCCCTGCCTGCAGCCAGGGGTGGCCAGAAGCGCTCTGTCTGGCAGTCACGCCCGCTGTGCCATGTGCTTGGAGCCTGCTGGTACCTTACAGAGAAATACCTTATCTGTGAATTTACTGTCTTCTTAATCAATGCAAAGTCTTTGGGCTATTGCTAAATGGTCTAAGCTGGGCTTTCCAGGATTATTTTTTTTTTTTAAATCTGAATTAAACTATTAGTCCCTGGTTGTGGCCCCGAGAATCCCAAGCTCACTAAAACACGGAGGGAGCCACGGGCAGGCTCAACGGAGGACCAGGGGCAACCGGTGTGGCATTTATGGTAGACAAACCTCACCGGCATCCAGAAAGTGGATTAACGAGGCTCTTTATTTATTTCATTTTTCTCCGTGGGTGGGGTATACGTCTCTTTCACCCAGTCCTGCCATTACTCCTGGGTGCAGATGTGAAGATAGGCCAGGGGCACTGAGTGGGGACGGAAGACTTCCTGGAGGCTGTGGGCCAGAAGCCAGGCAGTGCAGGGGCCGGGGGACGGTCTGAGCTGTGCATCACTAGGGCTCTGCCTCTGCCCCCAGCCTTGGCACCCGGCACGTCTACAGTCATTTCACTCCTCATTCAAGGCTGCTTGCCGTATCGTGTTTGCTGGAGTTTTCTAACCAGGTATCTTAAAAAAAAAAAAAAAATCCCAGAGCGCCTGCTTCTGCGGCCTCCCCCTG